GGGGGGTCCAAGGATCTGAAATCACTAGGCCCAACAAGGAGCCCAACTTGTTTGTGCTAGATCCAGTGAGGGTGGCTCCCAGGGGTTCACCATGAGGAGGGCACATATGGGCGTTTGATCTGGCCATTTTGAGATATGAAGGTCATGGCATGAGGACGCATGGTGAACGTCCTGACATGCTTTGTATTGGATCTGTAAACAAGAAAACATGGAAAAATAAAATGTGAAAACAATAGGGGAAGGGATTGAACCTGTGTCCTGGTACAACAAAGCCTTTGTAACGCTCGCATCTACCGCTGGGGCGGCTGTTACTTATGATTACATAAATCAAACAAAAACATCAAATATACAAATTGACTTATATGTCCGGAGAAGCGCCGGAGCCCTAGCTCCGGTCATCTTCTCCGACAACCTGCAAAAATTAAAATTGCAAAAAGTCAATTTTCAAGGATCCAAAACACCATGTTCCCCCTAATTCGACCCTCTTGGATCTGAATCCGACCTTAGTTTTTGCTATAGGTCTATGTATTGTGTGTTTTGAATCAATTTACACCGATCAGAGAAAAAATGGCGTTTCTCAAATATGCGTGCATGGGACCATATTAGTGATCCAGACCTGTTCAAATGTGTCTTAGGAGCATGTTAGAAGTATCAATTCAATTTAAAATAAAGGAAAATGAGAGATATGATTTTAAAAAAATGTAAGAAACCGGTCATGACATGTTATGCGATTTTATGAGTTTGGGATCATGACCAACGATCCAAACCCACCCTTTGATACTCTAAGAAGTGATTGGTATTGGAGTTTGGCACCGAGGAGGCTTGCCACACTAGTTTCGAGACTTAGGGTTTTGAAGAAATTTTGAGAATTTTTCAAGTTGTTTTTGAGGCAGGAATTCATGTCCTTTGCATCTGATATGCTTGTACTTATATAGAGGAAGGAATAAGGCAACCAAAGATGGAATAAAATCAAGAAATTATGGCTTTAATCAAACAAGATCAAACATGTTTAAAAAATTCCATTTTTGAGATATTTTTTGCCTTCTTCATCTCACACGATTTTGGAAATGATTTGTAACAGGCTAGCATGTGTTGTATTAGGCCTCTAGATGATTGTAACAAAAGCCCAAGCCCTCATACTATTATCTCATATTTTATTTGACTTTATTTGCATTTAAATGAATATAAATTCAAATAAAAGAAATAAAAGTCATAAAAAATATGTGAATGAATTTATAGGTCCTATAACTCCTCATGAACATATTTGCACAACAAAAGTTAGGCCCACTAGTTCAAAATTTCAAGTTTGCTCATTTTGCATTACATGTATTTCTCAAAAATTGCCTAACTTGTGTAACTCATAACTTGCTCAATTTTCATCTTTTGAAGGTGATCTTTGATTTTTTGGAAAGCTCAAGATGTCCTCTTAATTTTCTCTTTTGATCATTTTTGTATTTTGAGACTTTATCTTGATGTAAGCTGCCTTGATAAAAAGTGTCTTTTTGTTGACTTTTGAAATGACCTATAATGTATTAGCTCATATCTTTCAAATGAAGCACTTTTTGGACTTGAGAATTAATACAAAGTTGTAGAAAATTGAATTTACTTCAAAATTGGATTTTGTTGGGGAAAAGTTGATGAAGCATATGAAAGTTATGCTTGGTCAAAGTTTAGTTGACTTCTCCTAAGGAAACCCTAATTTTGCAACTTTTGACCTTTGATGATTTGAGGGATTTCCTTGAGGAATCTTGATCAACCCTTGATCAAATGATGAATATCACTTCAAAATGTTGATGTTGACAAAAAATCTTGAAGTTTGACTGTATGTTAACCACATTTAACTTTTTACCCAATACAATTGATTTTCAATCATTTGAGCCATTGATTGAGCAAAGTTGTGATGCAAGACTTGAAACTTGACATGAGCACTGTTGAAGACCTATGATGAACCATGAAAACCGTTTTATACCTTTGAAACCCATTTTTCCTTGTTCAAGATGAAATCCTAGTTGTGGATCCATTGCTTAGGAGGAGGTTTGACTGGTCAACCCTTGAGTAACTTTGAGTACTTGAGACCTTTGTGAGCATGTCTTAAAGAAAAATGGGAGGGAAAATTTTGGGGTATAATAGTATAGAATATAATCTTCATCCTCAAAATAAGAAGATAACAACAAAGTAAATTCAAGAGGTATATGCTACAATTATAGAAAATCAGGTCATTACAGGCCGGAGTGTCCATCTCTTGATAAAGACAAAGAAAAAAAGGCAAAAACACTAAATATAGGAAATCTAGAAGATATTATGTGGCTTGGAGGAGTGACATTGAGTCCTCAAATAATGAATAATTAAGTGATAATTAAGAATCTGCGACCGTGTCTCTCTCGACCCACTATAATGAAAATAAGAAAAGGAGGTCAGGTTATCAAAGTATGATGAAGTTTGTCCCTTACCTCACTATCATGAAAATAAGAAAAATGTATCTAAGCCATCAAAGCATAATGAAGTATGTCTCTCAGCTTATTATCATGAAGAGAATAAAAAGGATGTAAGTCTTTCTAAACATGTACCTAGTAATAAATTGTCTCATTCCAATTTATTGAATGCTTTTAAAAATCTACATAAAGAAGCTATAGAATCTTTCAAAAAGCTTGCTTCAAACAAACAAATATTTTTTTATTTGGAAGCTAAGGTTGATGAAATCGAAAAGCAAATGGAAGCTCTAAAATGTTCTATAGTAGGTATTCAAAAATTAAGAGATGTAAATGAAAAAATCCCGTGTCTTAACTTTGGTTGTGATACTTGTTATATTTGATAAAAAGAGGTTAGATCTATAAAAGTCAAATTAGACAAGGCTCTAGAACTAATGATAACTTTTTACATTGATACCTCAAGACACAAATTACCTACTCACAATTCTTATAGGAGGTACAAGTTTGTGGAAAAGAAATCTAAAGACAAAAGCTCATCTCATCTTAATTTAACGTGTCCCTATTGTTGTGTGAAAGATCACACCATTACTAAATGAAAACTTAGGAAGCTTTTAGTTCCTATGGGATTTTATCAATGCTTACTTAAATACAACCATGGATCTACTTACTCTCAAGGATCCAATGAAGATTGGATACCTAGTTCATCTTGTTGATTTTGTAGGAAAAGTGTTTTGGCCTATAAAGAGAGTATGAGATCTCTTCTATAGAAACTCAAGACACGTGATAGGTGACATATTCATATCTCATTGACTTTGTGGCAATGTAAGAGGATTTTGTTACCATGAAAGCATCAATAAGTATTCATAATTGTTGAAAGATGTGTAATACTTCATCAAAGAGAAAAGTGATGAAAACTTTATTTTCTAAAAGATATTATGGCACTTCATTGTATTTGTTTCAAATTTCATTCGAGAGTTCCTTGAGAAATTCATAATGCATCCTCTGTCATATTGAACGGTGAGGTTGTATCATTTTTATTTTCTATTTGTATATAAGTTCCTTCTTTTATCCGTTTATCGTTCAAAGGTATGTGATATACTTGATGTGTGATATATACTATGAGTGTTCATTTCAAAAAAATCTCAAATTGACAAACTATGTGTTTTCAATTTATATGTTTATAGTGACCTCCATTACAAGTTCATCACATGTATGTATTTGTATCCTTTGTTTGTATTTATATATGTTATTTATTCTATCAAACCATGAAACATGATTATTTTCTTATGAATTTCATAGAAAGTCATGCATGAGTCAAGTTATGTCACTCCAAACCTACCAAAAACCTTATTTCCCAATCAAATTATGCTCTTTACATATTATGGGTCGACACATGATATGTATAGGTCATCACATAACTCATTAATCCAAATAAGTTCTTTTTTGGTTCAATATGTGTCGACACGAAAGTCATATTGGTTGACACATGTGCCAATATTTCATATTTATTGAATTTCAGTTCAGTATGTGTCGACACATAAGTCATATGAGTCGACACATGAGTCCACATAGGTCGGCACATGCATGCTGATTATGAAACCATTAAGAATTTTTTTCTATCTATGCATCTTCCTCTTTTTTTCTCATTCATGAACCTTCTAAAAACATCATTAACTCATATTTTCTCATGGTTCAACTCACCCACTCATTCATATCTCCACTAAACCAAATCTCCACTACAAATCATTTAAACGCGTATTGACCAACATTTCATTAAATCCCCACTCAAAAATCCTTCAACTATAAGTTCCTTGCGTCTCTCCTTTCTCAAGCACACCCACGCCATTGAATCACGAATACGTGCATACATTTGGCACTGGTTGTTAACATTGTGTGTTATTTCATTCATTTTTCACATTTTGGGTTTGTGGTAAGTCATATATTTCTCAAACTTCAAGATATTTCACTCACACATTTTGTCAAACACTTGGTGTGCAAGTTATTATCTATAAATTGAGCCATGGAATCAAGGGGAAACAAAAACAGGGGTAATGCTAAGGGTAAGAGACATGTTGGATCCTCTTCAAACAAACCTGTAACTCCATTTTCACTGGTTGATTATGAGATTTTTGACCTCTTTGAAGAAAAGTGCAAAGAGAGACTTGTTCTGAAGCAACATGTCTACAATCCTAGTGTGGTAGAGAAACTGCATCTTACTGAAGTTAGTGATCATGTCAAGCACGGATGTATCAACTATTTTCTACAGCTTTCATAAGAATATAATGAAGATCTTATTCATGTGCTTTATTCTGGCTTGCACGACTGCCGAGATATGGAGTTCAAATTTCGAATGGGAGGCAGGAATTACCATTTCACAGATGCATTATGGAAATCCTTGTTTGGTATCACTGTGGTTGAAGATGATCCAGGGTGTCTGATTTAAGAGCTCATTGTCATTTTTGATGGCGTCCTCATAGAAATGAACTGCTAAGAGCTCTCAGGCCTAAAGATGATTACAAAGGTATAAAACCAGGTCACCTAAAGCAACTTCCTCGCATTCTACATTAGATCATGTCTCATGTGCTGCGTCTAAAGAATAGTGGATGTTCAGGAGTCGATCAACCTGAAATCCACCGGGTATACATTATCCTTCATAAAATTAAGATTTGTTGGCCATACTACTTTGTTTCTCGTATATTCACTATCAAAGAAAGTGCCAAAGGAAATTTGTTTTGCCACAGCTCTATGATTGCCAAGATCATCAACTACAACAATAGGATACCAAATATACTATATAGGTTCTCTATTGATGCTCAAGAATATACTCAGTGTACCTTAACAAATATGGGGTACATTTGGGATGAACAAAATGAGGCATATTACTTTCGTATTGGTAAAACTGGTGATCCAATTTATAATTCTGATGATCCGGGTGCATTCGATGGAAATGTTGTTGAGCAACATGGCGAGGAAAATAATCAAGAAGATGTGAACATGGTTGATGGAGAGCACAAACAAGATGCGCCTTGGATGCAAGCTGATTCTAATCAAGGATGGAGACGGTGGCTGCAACAAACTGATGAGCATATGAAATATGAGAGTAGTTACCAAGAGTATGGCTCATAAGGTAATAATTCTATTATATTGGCTATGCTCCAGAGCATGCAAATTAAGCAGGATGAATGTTATGAGGAAAAAATGCACTAGCGATAAACTTTTAGGAAACTCAAGATGAACGGTATAAAATGGTGCAGGAAGATTTGGCCTTCCAAGATTCCAACTTTGAGTTCTTTGGATCCTATACTATTGCATAACTTCTAGCCATCCGAAATGATATAAGCACCAACAATGCGACTGTACAGATAAGGATCAATAACATGATGACTCTTGATGTTCAAAATCATGAAGAGAGCTTGGAGATTTACTAGGACATGCGTGACCATATGGGATGTGGTGGAAGACCATTTCGAGGAAATTATAGGGGTTGTTAAAGCTTGGTGTCTTCTGTTTTATATTCATTTTTTTTTGTTCATGCATTTTCATTTCTGTTTTGCATCTCATGTTTCTTTATGATTTGGTTTTGATTATGTATTAACAACAATATCACTTCTTTGAAGTGTTTACTTTATGCTTTATTCATTTGGCTTGTTATGACAATTACAATCAATTTTTGTTTGTTAAAATATTATTTGGTTTTGTCTGGACTTTTACGATTATTAGCTTTGTGTAACTCTATGTGTATGGGAACATGTGAGTTTGCATTCTTACTTTGCAAAACGTCTTTGGGTGGTATATTTATATTTGTGTAAATAATGATACTTCTCATTGTGTGCTTTGTCTCTTTTTAATATTGTGAAAGGGAGAAAAGTATAAGGGAAGATATATGCACATATTCAGGGGAAGCTTTCATGAAGACAAGAAAAACATTATTTAAAGCTTTGAGTTTTGTCATCATCAAAAATGGAGAGTATGTGAATGCATTTGTCTTTTAGATGTTTTACATGATGTCAAAACTAAGATAAAACTAGGATGAATTTAGATTTTTTTTGTACATTAAATGGTATCTCTGAGTATTTGTATGCACTTTGACATTAGGAATCTTAAAAAGCATCTAGAACAAGTTTGAAATGGTTATCATTTGGTAACATGCATTAAAAATCATGTTTTGCACAAAAATCTACTGCATGTGTCGACACATTTGTGTTTCGTGTCGGCACATGTACATCTGTTTTAAAGCTTGTAGGTTTTGTTTATATGTGTCGGCCCATCCTTCCTTTTGTGCCAATACATGTGCTATAGTTTTAAAGCCAAAACCCTATGTTTCCTTGTGTTGACTCAAAAACCTATATAGGTCGACTTGTGTCATTACACGAGTCGACTCATGACATGCTACAAGTCGACACATGCATCAATTTTTTCCATCATGTGTCAACATACACCTTATATGTGCCGATACATACTGAAGCCAAATTCAAAAATCAGTTCTCTTACGAAGTTTCTAGGTTTTCTTTTTGCCTCAAAGTCTCACACTTATATATACTTCATATATGCATCTTTTTCAATTTGACAAAATTATAAACACTTACTTGATTTCTCTTCATCTTCAACCGTGACCCTATGCATACACACAAGCTAAGTACACATAATCATTCATAGTTTGGGTTCCATCTAGACTCGGTTGATAACGTTCAATTTAGGTTGATTGTAACCTACGATTGGGTTGAGAATCAAGGGGGTTTTATCGGAAAAACCCTGAGAATTTTTACCTCAAGATCAAGTGGTGATTTGAGGGTTTTTGACAAGATTATGCAAATATTGGATTCGACCGAGTGAAGACCTTGAAGAGCGGGCGGCTCTTGCAAGCCTAGTAGCATGAGACGGTGGATCGTTTAGTAATCTTGGGTGATAACAATTTGCAATTATGGATTCGGATGAGTGAACTCTTTGAAGAACAAGGGTTCTTGCAAATCAGTAGTGTGAGACGGTGGATCGATTTGGTTTGTTGTGTGGCTTGATCTAACTCCAGTCAAGCGAAGATAATTTTGTTGGATCATCATCAACCATAGAATTTGTAGGATTAGATTGCAACATTTCTCTTGTAAACTAATCTTTTGCAATAGTAAGAAATTTATCTTAATTCTAAAATGGAATTGGGAGGAGACATAGCCGTAGCGAGTACATTGGTGAACTTCCTAAACAAATCCTTGTCTCTCTATCTCTATCTCTTTGATATTTTCATTAACAATTTATTAAACGTTTGATTATGCAAATTGATTATAATAGAAAGATTATTTGATTGTTGAATTGCTTTGTTGATAATCTTACAATTCATTTGATTGTAAGAGGTTTTAATGCCAACAAAGTTCAAAGAAAAATCTAGAAAATCAAAATGTACATTAAGTGTTCAATAAATTGTTTCAATAAGCTTTACCTTTAATTTCATTGGAAATTGATTACTTGATTGTTGTAATCAAACCATTGATTGAGAATTTGTTGTTTTACTTGTTTATCATCATTACTCATTTAGAATTTATTGAACGCATATCCGAGCTCCAATAATCGGATCGTTTGGGACGAATTACGATCTAGGACACGACATCAACTAGCCATTATTTTTACTTGTTTTGAAAATAATTTTTAATCTCAATTTTTAAATTAGATATCTAGTCACTCCTCTCTAAATAAGTTATCGTCGTCTAATCATACCTGGTTCAAGATCAACAATTCGCTATGACAATCAAATAGCAAGACACGTTGATGTCAATTCCTCATTCTTTGAAAGAGCCAAACACATAGACTTAGACCGTAAGATACTTCAACAAAACTTTTTCCATCTCCTTTATATTACAACTTCTCAATAACTAGCTAACATTTTCACTTAGACTATTGATACCACCCCTTTCATAACTTCCTCTTCAAGCCTGTCCTTCTCTGTGGCCCGGCTTTTGAGGGGGCATATTAGCCTATATGTATGTACACTAATTATTACTCCATCAATCCTAAAATATTTGTCATATTTGAATACTTTCATATAAATTAAGAAAATATAATAAATGAAAAAGAGAATAACAATTTTTATAAACTATCCTAATTAGTTATTGGTGTATTCAAATTATCATTAATCCAAAGTGAAAGAAATAGTAAATTAAGAGTATTAATTAGAGAATATAATTAAAAGATAAAAACTAAAATCGCATCGGAAACTTAAAACAACATTTATTTTAGAATAATGTTTTTTACAAATGTGACACTTATTTTATAACAGAAGAAGTATTAGATAGTTGGTTAGGATAAACATTTAGTTAGTTAGGTTAGTTACATCACCATCCTCTTGTGCATTCCAATGATTCAGTCAATGAATACATTCTTTTTCATTCATTCTATATTCAATTCACATTTGTGTTCATGTATAGTTTAGTTTTCAGCTTTGAAGGTATTCTTAGCATAGTTTCTAATATTTCTTATAAAAAATAGTTTCCATATAAAATGTACAGGAGGGATAAGTTTTTTTTCTCTTTTTCACACAAGTCTCCTCTAGCACTTAGAGCTTGAAAAGAATACTGTAAACTCAACAATATACAATTTTCAATAAAAGGGTTGAAAAGAATGAATTTGCTTTAATAAAGAATTTCATTTATCATCATGAGACTTGTTAAAATGCCTATGGAGAATTGTCATCAAGGGAACAAAATTTAATACTAGTATACTTCAAAAATAACCAAAACAGCTATAAACAATGATGATGCCAATGGTTGAGGTTGTGATCATCAACTCTCCCTTATTGTTGAAAGATCTTCAAAGACTGTTTTCATGTCAGGCCTTTCAGATGCTGGAAGAATGCATCTTATAGCCACTTTTAGCATTTCATCAAGAATTATAGATCCTTCTGCAAGGGACTTATCGATGCATTGGTTAGAGCGATCTCGTTCGACTAAGAATCTCACCCATTCCGTAAGTTCCACCACGCCAGGAATCTCCGACACTATTTCTCCTGACTTTCTTCCTGTTAGGAGCTCTAACAAGACGACTCCGAATGCGTAGACATCACTCTTTAAAGAAGGGCTTGGTTTGGTTGATCTAGCAAACTCAGGCGGACGGTAACCAAGTGCACCTGCATTCAGAACTTGCTCGGACGTGCCAGCTGCGGTGAGTATTCGATGCAGGGTGTAGTCAGTGAGCAAGGCATTTCTGTTTGGAGTTTCTAGTAGAATGTTTGTGGATTTGAGATTGCCATGAGGTATGGATTTCTCAGTGTGTAGGAAAAGTAGACACCGCGCGACTTCTACGGCCACCCTAAGCCTTTCGTCAAGGGACAAAGGATTGAGATTTCTTCTATCAGCCTCTGTAACAAATATCGAAACAATCCATGAATTTGAAATGTCCAAAACACAAGTTAATAAGGCCTAAAAATTCCAAATATGAAGCCATACTCTTACCATGGAGATAAATGTCCAAAGAATATGCATTCATGAAATTTGATATAATCAATCTCTCATGCTCCTTTGGCCCGAGGTAGCAACCAAGAAAAGAAACCAAACTCGGATGCTTGATTGTCCCGAGTTTCTTTATTTCTCTTGCCAACTCCTTTTTGCCTTTAGTTATTCCTTCTCTTAACCATTTGACAGCCAAAACATGACCAGATTCAAGTGTAGCTTTGTAGAGTGTTCCATGACAACTCCTACCAATAACTTCAGCCGGAGCACACGAAAGTTCTTCTGCAGTTAACATCAACGATCCATCGAATAGATGTAAGTCCCCGACCAGTTTATCCGGAGATGATACATTGAGCGAGCTAGGATTCTCAAACTGACGGCTTGTAGAAGGTGAAGGATTCGAAGCCGATAAAATAGACATTGGTGAAGACGTTCCTTCCTCGTCCTTAACTAACTCAGGATGTTGAGGCTTCTTTACAGTTGGATGAATGTTTTCGGTATCATCACTCTGAGAAGGCAGCAAAGAGTCCAAATTTCTTCTCTTTGATGATGAAGTACTCTCTTGGACAATGTCACTAGCGGTCGCGTCTTGTTTAGAAGCCATTTCTTTTTTCCGACGAATCCTATAAAAAATCGTTGCAGCCATAATAGCGATCACAGAAGCACCAGTAACTAAACATGTAATGAAGACACTCCTAGAGAAAACTTTCTTATGTGACCTCAAACCTAGGATGGAATTGGAACTATCTTTAGGCGACAATGGAGAATTCGGGAATATCAACATAAGATTTCCTGGATGAAATGCTGACTCAGGAAACTGCAGTAAGTTATCAGGTACAACACCAGAAAAGTTGTTAAAGGACACATTGAATCCTCTTAATTCATCTGGAAGTCCATTAGGAATAGTACCTTCCAATTTGTTGTTACATAGGTTAAGATATTCCAAATTATGAAGCTCCTTAATTTTTGGAGAAAGAGTTCCATTCAAGTTATTGTTCGAAAGATCAAGCGACGTTAAACTATAATTTTCGGAAGAAAGCAATGAACTACTTGGAAGTTGAAAAGGAATTGGTCCAAAAAACTTATTGTTTGAGAGATTAAGAGTAGTCAATTTGGTCGAGGCGAAAAGGGTCGGTAGGAGGAAGCCAGAAAGCCGGTTGAGACTCAGATCAATCTCTTTTAGTTCTGGAAATGTTCCTAAAACTGGTGGCAGAAATCCCTCCAATGAGTTATTGGATACCTTAAGTGAAGTTAACCTTAGAAACTGAGAAGTTTCGTACGGAAGTGCTCCGGTTAATGAGTTTGAACTTAGCTGAATAACTTCTACATAGTTTCCCCAATACTTGACCCTTGACAAATTACCTGACAACATGTTGTTACTCAAATCTATGATGGCACAGTGTCCTACTTTGAAAGGTAATGAGCCTGATAATTTGTTTGAAGATATATTAAGCTTCCTTAGAGTCAATGAAGTAATGCTTCCAATGGAACCTGCAAGGAAATTCTATAATTGTAAGGCAAGAGAAAACTAAGTATCTTGAAGCAATAAACACCAGAAACACGACACATTGACACATGTAATCGGACACAGACATATCTTTTTTCTGAGGTGTTGGTGCTTCAGAGGTAAGTATGAACTCAGAATAACTTTTAACTCATGTCACAATGGTTTTATGAAATAATGACTAAATTTGATGAGTAAGTTATGTTGAATACAAGGATTACTAGCCATAGATGTTGTTCATATGGATTTCGAGCGATCTCACGCAGTCACTACATCACGAATATTGTTACAATTTACACAGAAAACACAAACGAGGTACCTTCAAGCTTGTTTTGACTAAGATCCAGTTCAGACAACATCGTTGAACTTTCCTTCAACAAAGTTTCTGGCAGGGAACCTGTCAACTGATTGCATTGGAGCCGAAGAATCCTTAGCGATACAATAAATCCGAAGGAAGGTATATTACCGACTAACTGGTTATTACTAGCATCAAAAACCTCTAAATTATCAAGATACGGCATACCATCGTGAGCAAAAAGCTCACCCGTCAAAGAATTGTGGCTAGCATTTAAATATCGAATCGAGAATTGAAACGAAACACCTCCGAGTCCTAAATCCAACGCACCAGAAAACCTGTTGGCGCTTAAATCAACATGTAACACACTTCCCATCTGATAAAAGATATGCATAACATCACCAGAAAAGTTATTACCGCGAATATCTATATACTTCAACTCCTCAAGTTTGTGAAACACGTTCGGGATAGTGCCGCTGAACTCATTCGAAGAGAGATTCACATACACTAAACTACGCGATTCGACGAATGTAGAAGGAAACGAGCCAGAAAACTTGTTGATAGACAAGTCGAGAAAATTAAGTGATTTCATCGGACCGATTCGTGACATACTTCCGGTGAAACTGTTGTTTACAACTGTCAAATTACGGAGCATTGGAAGGGTGCTAATTGCAACGAAATTAAACTCGCCAACCAAACCGGCATTGTCAAGAGTGATAGATATAACATTGCCTTCAGTACAGAATACTCCATACCAGTTCTGAGGACATCCATTAGAGTCTAATGACTTGGAATCCCAAGAATTAAGAACTAATCCAAAAGGGTCAGTTTGAATACCCTTCTTTAGTTCAACAAGTGCATCAGTATCTGAATTCCCTAACACAATTTTCACCATCAACAACACCATCAAACAAATACCCTGCATTCCTTTCCTAGTTTTTCCTAATCCAAACATCACCAACAACAACAATGACAGAAACATCAATTTTTGTTTCCGCAGTTACAAATCTCTAAGTAACTCAGGTGTTTCTTTCACTAAAAACAATTGCATGATAAAAATTAAACAAGAAACTAGCTATAGAAAGCAGCATATTATTACCTGTTAATTGACTAGCATTACAAATGTACAAGTATGAATGAGTGAATGATAGGAAAAATTAGTTAGGTGAAGTGATGAAAGAAGCCAGAAGTAGAAGAAGAAGGGTACTACTACTGGCTGGAGACCATTAGTAAGAAGCATGGCAGGTAGGTAAGGTGCTGTTTTATTTTTTTATTGCTAGTCATGTCATTGGTACAAAAATTTATTATTATATCTTTGGGTCCATTTTTTATAACGACAAACATTGATTAAGACGTATCAAATTCGTATTAACTTTTTGGTTATTTTGGAAATAGATTTTAACTTTAACTTGAAATTTTGTCTCATTGTTTTTAACCTTGAATTGCTTGTGGCCACATGTTCAACTAAATTTTATTTAATTTTCTTTTTATGAATTTAAAATAGTTTGGAACTTTCATATTTTTGGAGTGAAATCTCATAGGGTGCAAGAAAAAGTAAAGTAGGCATACACGTGTCTAAACATACTAGTATACCGGGTGTTAGGGGTGGACAGAAGAGAACCACCCGAAAATACCCGCCCGAACCGAATGTATATAGCAGCTGCGGATCGGGTTATTTCGGATGCACGGGTTGATCGGGTGAGATAATCGGGTAAGCATGGATAAATCAAGTCGGTTTCGGTTCAATTAGTTGGGCCCGTCGGTACTCGAATCCGACCGGTCCAATTTGATGTGTTCTTAAACGATATGCCCCATTCCATCAATTTTCCTCTTTTCATGTAATTTTCTTCTTCTTCTCAGTTCTAAAAGAAAAACCCTAAAAGACAGTAACAATGTTACCACCGGCGCCGTCACCCCAAGCAAAACCCCTAACGTAAACCATCCACTGCGCCGCCGTGTCGTCCTCAACGAAATCTCTTCCACTGAACAACGAGCTCTACCACTGCGCCGCCGTGTCGTTTCTTTGTTTTCAAAGAGGTTTGTGTTCAGATTTTTATTTTTTATTTTGATTTGTTCTTTTTTCCAATGGATTAGAAACTCGGTATTTATTCTAAACTCGTCATTTTCGTCACATAGGAGAAAGCTTTTTTCTGAGTTCAGTTTTGGTGTTGGAGCTATTAAGGTTCATATAAACTCAGTATTTATTTATTTATTTTCGTTTCAATAGTTCAAATACAATGTTCAGTTTTTGTTGTTTTCAATATTTTAATCACTGTTGTTGTTTTCATTACAGTGTTACTGAGAAATCTCTTCAGAGAATTGAAGAAAGTATGTGTTAGTTTTGTTTTATTTTGTTCTAATAACTTTAAAAGAGTTCAGTTTAAATTTGATTAGCTCTAATAACTTTGAATATATTGTTTTAAATGCAAAGAGGTAAAGAAATGCAAGGAGTTGGACATGGGCATGGAGTTGGACATGTGCAAGGAGAGGGAGATGAGCATGGAACTGGTGGAGTTAGAGATATGCAAAATACCGGTAATTTTAGGCTTACTTTGATGTTTTTTTAGTATAATTTTGGCATAGTTTTTTAAAACCTAAACACCAACAAATTGTTTCAGCATCTAGGCAACACACACCAAATGCCAATGAACATTCCCAACCTAATCATCAAACTACAACAATACCCGAACTTCCACCAACTAACCCAAGGAAAAGAAGACGCAATGCAAATGGTAATAGAAAGAGATCCGAGGTTTGGGATCATTTTAACCTTATTCCTAATAGTGACCCACCAACAGCTGCTTGTAAGTACTGCCATCAAAAGTATATGTGTGACTCTAAGAAACATGGAACATCAAACTTAAAGAGTCACATGAAAACATGTCCCAAGTATCCGTTGAACTTGTCCACAGACACTACCCAAACAATCTTGTCATATTCAACAACTGAGGAAATATTAAGTTCTAGGTTTAATCCTGTAGCTTGTCGAAGTGGGTTGGCTTATTTTATCATTTTGGATGAAAAACCATTTAGTACAGTGGAAGGAGAGGGGTTTAAGTACTTTTGTAGGCAGATGCAGCCCCAATTTTCTATACCGTCTAGGCGAACTATAGCTAGAGACTGCTTTCAGTTATATCTTGATGAGAAAGTGAGGTTGAGGGCGTTCTTTAATTCTGATTGTAGTAGGGTGGCAATTACAACCGATTGTTGGACATCTGTCCAAAATCTGAACTATTTGACCCTCACGGCCCATTTTATTGATAGAGAATGGCAATACCAAAAGAGGATAATCAGCTTTACGAGTATCCCAAACCATCGGGGAAAAACTGTTGGTAAGAAGGTTGAAGATGTTTTAAAGGAGTGGGGGCTAAGAAATGTTTCTACCATCACGGTAGATAATGCCACCTCAAATGATGTTGCTGTTAAATATTTAGAACAAAAAGTAAGAAACATGAATGGCCTCTTAATGGATGGATTTGGTTTTCACATGAGGTGTTGTGCACATGTGCTGAATTTGATTGTGAGAGATGGATTACAAGTTGCCAACACCTCAATTTCAAGTGTGAGAAATGCAATTAGGTTTGTTAGATCTTCACCCCATAGGGCTTTAAAGTTCAAAGAATGTGTGGAGTATGCTGGGATTTTATGCAAGAAATCAGTATGTCTTGATGTTTCAACTAGATGGAACTCGACATATTTGATGTTAGATTCCGCGGAGAAGTTTCAAAGTGCTTTTGAGAAGCTAGAAGATGCGGATGAAGCCTATAGGGATTTCTTTGAGGTTGACTCCCCCCCTAGTAGTCAAGATTGGGATAATGTTAGGGTTTTTATTAAGTTTTTGAAGAACTATTATGAAGCCACAAAGATTTTTTCTGTTTCCACAAAAGCAAGTTTGCATACTGCTTTTCCATACCTTGCTTCAATTTACATTGAACTTAAGAGGTTAAATATGGACCTTAATGGATTGTTTGCTGAGGTGGCTAGGGATATGCTGGAAAAGTATAGTAAATATTGGGTTGATATCACAAAGATGAACCAACTCCTTTATTTTGGTGTTATCTTTGATCCCCGATATAAGTTGAGATTTGTGGAATGGTGTTTTGATGATATGTATGGAAAAAATTCGGAAACTAGTAAATCACTATTAAAAGATATAAATGACAATCTTTTAACCATGTTCAACCTTTATAAACAACAATACGACACTGCTGGAGGCTTAATTCCATCTGTTGCAGCGGCTGTTTCTCATGGTGAAACAGCAGCCAGCGATGAATTACCCACATCCGTAGCTAGGGCAAATGCGTTTCAACAACATTTGATGTCTTTGGATGCAGTTGAAGAAGAAACTGAACTTCAAAACTATATAAAAGGAAAGTGCATAAGTTTTAATGAAAAGGATAAAGACACTTTTGACATTCTTGGTTGGTGGAAACATCATGTCGGGAAATACCCAGTTCTGTCCCAAATAGTTAGGGATATCATGCCAACGCCAGTGTCAACCGTAGCTTCTGAGAGTGCTTTTAGCACGGGTGGAAGGGTTTTAGAGGTATATAGAAGCTCTCTCAAACCAGAAATGGCGGAGGCATTAATTTGTGCTCAGAACTGGTTGAGGCCTTCCTTTTACCAATTCAAAGACTTGGAATTCAATGAGGAGTATGAGATTTCGGAAGATGCTTTACAAGGTATTATTTTTATCTTAAGTGTGGTTGTTTAATTTATTTTGTAATATGTTGCTGAAATATTACTTTCATTCCCTGCTGCTCACCTCAATGTCAATGCCTTTTAATATGTGTAATAGGATTTGCTGAAATTTCGTCTGCTCAGACTCAGTCACAGCCTTCTGGCTGTGCTTGAAACAACTTCAGGTTAAAGACTTCCTGAATATTCAGAAGCTAAATTTGCAGTAGTTGTAAAATTGTATGTTTTCTAATGTTTCTAGTTGTATTTGCAGTATTGCTGAATTTTTTGGAGTCTTATGACTCATTATTTTGAAGCCACAACACAACCAACGACTTTTGATCCAAGATACTTTTGAGAGCGTTGTCCAAGAACTAAATATCGATAGTAAGTTTAATTACTTGCTGATTTTTTTGTTTAATATGTGTATACATGCTGAACAGTTTTGATTCTTGCATTAAGACCGCGTCTTCCGGCGTTTTTGAAGGCATAACTGTCAATTTAGGCCTCTGGGATACAGCTGGTATTTTCGCTTTCTCACCCTGTATTTTTCTCTTATTTTCGCTTCAAAGTCTCATTCAGCTGCAAAGGTGATGATCAATTTTACCCTTTTTATATTGCTAGTATTTGTTTCACAGGTACAGAGCTTATATTGCTAGTATGTGCTACTGACGGCCATGATGATGTTAAACCTTTTGCGAAGTGCCTGAGTGAAATTAAAAGAACTATATGTTATGCTCCAGAACTTTGGTTAAGCAGGTATTGACTTGTAAATCTATGGAAAACTAGTGATTCTATAGCAGTGCTATCTGTAATGTAGCACTAGTTGAACAAATCACTATTGTTTTGTGACACACTATCGAATTCAAAGTATTGCCGACATAACAAAACTTGAACAAACTGTAATTTTCTGCGATCTGCAATCAATTTGTTCTATTAAAATTGTTTAGCAATTCCAAATGATTTTTAAAAGTGTTAGTTGATGCTTTTTAATTTCGTAATAGCTTAAAACTACCTATATTGCACGAGTGCACGGGCTAATCCAGGACGCCCTGTACGACATGGTGGTGGGTTTTTTACTTTCTTTTTGCCCTGGTTTTCAACTTGTTATGATAATTGATGCTGTTTGTGGTGGTCTTGCAGCACTCCATCAGTTTACACAGCAGAACCTTCCAGCATGTAAACCCGTCCTTACACCTGCGGCAGTTAGTTCTTTTACAATACTTGAATATTTTATGGTGCCTTTGT